ACATGAACGTGTGCCAGCAATTTGTTTGAATATGTGAATGCGAATCCAGCAGATGTGAAAAATTTAAACTTTTTTAAATTTTTAATAACAATAAAATGTCTAGTTTTATTTTTTAGTCAGAAGTTTGCAACGCAGTGAAGGAGACATCTCAGACCCCAAAAAGTATATATAGTCATGAATGCCTAAAAATGAGCATAATTGAGGAAATGGGAGTTATTTTCGTCTTAGGGCTTTTATTTATATATTGACTTTGCATAGCAGCGGGGTGTGAATAATTAATTCAATTACCGCAACTTTGCAAGGCGGTAGAATGCAACCCCTATGCAAATTCTGCTGTTTAAAAGTGAAAGAATGCTGATAGAACTAGTCCCTGAAAGCGAACCGTCTTTTTTCGATTGGACGCAAAGTGCCGGGCAAATTTGACTTTAGTTGACTCCACTTGCGCCTCATCAACGCCTCGTCGGGGCATCGATGCCATGCGGCGCCTCCCCAGCCAATCCGACTGCGATCCATTTTGTCAACGCCACGGGCATCCGTATCTGGGCGACACGGCCTTAAAATTGCGGCCCCAAAATGGACAACACCAACAATCAATGGGGTCCGGATCGACTGCCGCCGGGAAATTGCAATGTTTGTCCCGAGGATCTGCGACTGTTCGCCCCTCAGACCCCTGTCTTCCTGGTGTCCTGGTGTCCTGGAGTCCTGATGTCCTGACGTCCTGGCTGACTGACTGCCTGCCATCCTGGCTGACTGGATGCCTGACTGCCTGGCTGCCTGGCTGCTCGGCTGCTCGGGTGTTCGCGTCCACATCCGGCTGATGTGCAAATCAAATAACAAATGATTGTCTCTGCCAAACTGGGCGACTCGTGACTGTGATTAAGGCCGGGCGAGTGGAAGCGAGCCCCACTCTGGACTTCACGGACTTGTCCATCTGCCAAATGAATATTCTACACTTCCCTCCCCTCCCGCACCCGCATATTTTTCTATGTGCAATCACAACAGATTGTCTTTTGCCTTTTGTCAAGTTAAATTGAATCAAGCTTAGCGACATATGCTTTTTGTGAAACAGCAGATGGAAAGAAAACTTGATTCATATAAGTCCTCGCAGTCCCAGGTTGCCAGGTGTGGTCGATAAATTAGATTTTTCTTGTAATTAATTGTACTTAATTTTAATCAAGATCCCAAAATCTCTCGAATGAATACTTTTCAAAAACAAAGGTGTCTGAATGCTTATATCTATCTATCTATCTATATATATAAAAGCAAGTTGTGTTAGTTACACCACTTATAACTTAAGAACGGCTGAACAGATTTGGCTGAAAATTGGTAGGAAGGTAGCTTAGAGCCCGGAATAGGACTTAGGGTACTTTTTATTCCGTTCGACATACCAAAAATCGCATATAAACTGAGTTATTACCTCATCACACTGACAAGCACACACTACCATAGCATTTTAACTCAATTTTTTTGAAGTGAATTGAAGTTATTTGTGATTTTGGTGAATTGAATTGAAGTGAAGTTTTTCGTGCTTTTTGTGAATTGAAGTGAAGGGAAGTTTAATAAATAATGCCGCGACCAAGACGATCGAATCTTTCCCGACAAAGCCGTAATGCAAGAAGACTACGAAATACTGCAAATGGAAGGTCTGAAGAAGAACAAAACAATGAACGTGAACAGAACCGCGTTAGTATGGGTCGACGTCGTGCTTCTCAATCAGCAGAGCAAAGAGAGGCAATCCGTAATACGGCTCGGTTGACAATGCAGAATCGTCGAGCTTACAACAGAGGTCAAGAAATAGATCATTTGCGACGCAGAAGAAATTTATCAAGTGCTGATTTGAATCGAGCAGCGTTTCAATACGATTGCATCACTGATTACAGCTTGCATCCTAGCGTTTGCATTGGGCAAATGGACGTTGTTTGCGAGTATTGCGGTGCACTGAAGTTTTCCGGAGAAACGCCTGGATTATGCTGCTTTAATGGTAAAGTTAAATTGCCATTGTTGACTCCGCCACCTGAGCCATTGTATTCGTTGCTTTGTGGTGAAACACAAGAATCACGCCACTTTCTTGCAAATACCCGAAAATACAATGGTTGTTTCCAAATGACGTCATTTGGGGCAGATATTATCGAAGAACGAGGATTTAATCCGACTTTTAAGGTTTTTTTTGGTATTACATAGAATTTAGTTAAAGAATAACTTACTTTATCTTAGATACAAGGGCAGATTCACCATCGAATTGGATCATTACTTCCTTTCGAAGATACACAAAAAAATTTAAAAATATACACGTATTTCATGGGCAACATGGAAGAATGCGATCAATGAAGGGATGAAACGAGCAATTCTTCAAGACTTGCAGTGTCTGCTTCATGAACATCAGGTTGTTTAAGAGTGCTTTAGAGCGCATGCCAAATGATGACTATAAAGTTGTCATAAAAGCAGATAAACGACCATCTGGAACACACAAAAGGACATTTAATGCTCCAACAATAGACGAAGTCGCCATCCTGATTGTGAACAATTTGATGAATGAGGAGATACATTATCGGGTTTTACTCTTGATCGAAGATAAGTGTTACCTCATGTGCGGTAATATATTAATCAGGTTAGAATGCCAGCGCCAAATCGTGAAATGAATGAGGCATTTAATCGAGAATTAGAACGGGAACGTGAATATGATCACCAGGAATTAAATTTATTAGTTCAAACGAATGTACCCCTGTTGAATTCCCAACAGAAGAAAGTTTATGATACTTTAATGAAGGCAATCGATGAAGAAAATGGTGGTTTATATTTCCTAGATGCCCCTGGTGGTACTGACAAGACATTCCTCATGTCATTAGCTTTAGCAACTGTTCGGGCGAGATCCAACATAGCTGTTGCAGTTGCTTCTTCGGGAATAGCAGCCATATTGTTAGAAAGATGCCAAACGGCTCATTCAGCATTAAAATTACCGTTAAATCTTCAAATTATTGAGGAACCAACGTGTAATATTGCAAAACACTCGGAAATGGCCAAAGTTTTAATGGTATCGAAATAAAATTTTTCCTTTTCATATATAAAACAAAAAAAAATTTTCTTTATCTTTTAAACACCAAACGAAGTTTTACCTAAAACTATCGCCATCTGGTGGCGGAACGGAGTTCGCTGGGTTTACTAGTAGCTTATAAATTCAAATTCAAAGACAAAAAAGTCTTAAAAAATACAACAGAAGCAGAACCTTCATAAGGGATACAATATGCCATACAAAGGCTTTGTGTTTTTTGAATAAGCAATTATTGCGTTTTTCAATAAGATTTGATTTCAATAAGAGATTCAGACTACCAAATAATGTAAACTTACTAGAACCCTTTTTTACTTATCTAGATCCAGATTAATATATTAATAAGGTATACAGTTCGTTTCATTTGTATAGGACACCTAACAACTTTTATAGTTGATCGCTCGAAGCGAAGACAAAAATCATCGAAAGCTAAAATTTTTTTTTCTTATATCTATCCTAAATACTGGCGAAGAGTACCGAAGAATGCGAACTTTTGAGGCTCATATTAAAGTAGGGCTCAGTCATGTAGAGTCCAGTAAAATCAATTTAATGCGAATGTGAAATTTATTGGCCGCGATGTTAGTATATTATCAAATGTCTAACGCCATACATCTATGGGAAAGGTATTTTATAAATAGAATATTATTAAAGACTGTTTGTAGGCATGTGCAATAGTTGGCGAAGCGAAGGAAAGCGGTAATTTTGTTAAATTTGTGTTAAAAAACGTATTATTTTGACCGAAGATAAAAGTCGTTCTTAAAGAGGGAACTGCCTTCAAGTCTATGTTTTGCCAATGCCAAATCAAATTGATACGCCATTTTAAAATAAGAAATAACGAAAGGATGAAATAAATTAATGCAAGGTCGCTAATTCGCAAAAATGATATTTGAAAAATTTACAAAGTTCGTTTTTTGTATGCCGCTGCTGGCAGAGGCAAGGCTTTTGTGTTGAATGTGTTGTTGATTGGAGTCCGCGAAGCCCACTCTATATTTATACCACTCCCTGAAATTGATAATTGTGTAAATAGAAACACCATGCCACCTGTTATCTAAATAATTTAAGAATCAAGATGTGAAAGATGTTCGTGGTTATGACTGTTGGGTGGGAGATATACTTTTTGTATTTCTTCAAGGAGCAAGGAGAGATAAAATAAAATTTCATTTAAAGTCATCCTATTTTTTAACCTTCTAGTACCGAAACAATCGGATTTTCTAATGACTATGACATTATTTCATACAAATTAAATGGTACCAAATAAAAGTTATGTATATCTATTACACTGTGCGACAAAATTTAACAAAATCTTTGTTTAAGTTAGTTTTTTGATTGTTTTCGGTTAAGGTGCATAAGTTATGCACAAAAATATTTATGCCACCTAGGATTTCTTTTTTTATGATAAATTTTATGAAATTATTATTATGAAAATATTTAACACAAAATATTATTTTTTTTTACTTCCAATAAACTATTATTTTTTTTTTAAAGTGGAATTTTTTTCTGATTTTTTTGGCTATTTCAGAGGTATCCTCGCGTAACAAGTTCCATACGTAGTCGCCCAGAGTATAGAGCTGGGAGGAAAAATTTTTAAAGCATTGTTATAAAATCCTAACGGTATATTTGCTTAATACATTTTAATTAATAGATATTGAACTTGCATTAACGCTTATAACGGTGAAAAAATATTTTCCCAATATGTGAGTATAAGGCTGTGAAATATGCAAAAACACGCGTTTTTGGGACATTTGAGTGTGCGTAGAAGCTGATTGGCTATTGATATTAACAAATCCACAAACTTGTATTCTTATTTTGATTAGTAGAAGTGAAAAATAAGAAAAAATCAACTTAAACATTTTTTTGTCGCACAGTGTTATATGTCAAAAAGTTTTAGCAGAACGAGGACATGCATTTTTTTATCAAAATATATATTCATATATTTTTTCTTTTTTTTTTAAAGGAACGAAACGCAAAATTCTGGAGATTTTCCCAGGAATTGGACCGACTGTAAGTCTTTTTTCTTTTCTTTATTTGCAACCACTTTTATTTCAGCAACATGTCTCTATGAAATAAATGCAAAAGTTGATTCATTATGTATTCATTATATTGTTAAGAAAATAGTTAGTTTAAATGAAAATCTAATTTAATGATTTTTCATATTAAAAGACTTGTAGACTCCATAACAAAGAAATTCAAAATGAGTTATGGTACTTCGCTTCTGTTTTACTTCCTCTTGAAAAACTGAGGTGATTTTATTTCATTCTAATCTCGGTGAATTCATTCTCTCTTTACTCTTTCATAAAATTAGTTACAAAAAGCTATACTGAAATTATTATCTATGGGTATTTACGGCTGTATCTCCTTTGTTCCTTTGAGTTGGTTTTGGATCCTGTATCTTTCCGCGCAAATAAATTACCCTGCGAGTAATATGACAACACGTATGCGTCCGGCCAATGATAATAAATTTGGTTGCTCCAGACATCAGTCTCCAAACACTACGTATGAATTCTCCAATCTTTTTCGTAGTGAAAGTCCCATTTGGCGTTATCGGGATCCCAATGCTGATGGCTTAGAGGTTTAATTATATTGACCCGAGTGAAATATATCTACGTATACTGTGTCGTACACATGCTGACCGTACTATTTACGGAACCATTATGAATTAATTTTTTTTAATGATAGTGTCAGCCCCATTAGGTTATGATTATTTGCTCATTTTCTTTGCACTTGATTGTTACCTTTGTGAAGGTACCAATGATACTGTTGACTTAAAGTCAGTTACCTTAATATCACGTTGTTTCTGCTCCGACATCTCCTGGATTTTCTTATTTAAATTAACATTTTCGTGAAGTTGAATTGGCGATGATGTTGACTCATAGATATTATGCTCTTTTGTTGTAACTTATCAAAGTAAAGGAACCAGGTTATACACGCAGTCTTTCTTTTCAGACATTTTTAGGATTTTTAGCTAAATGACTCATTAACGTGCTTAATGTTATGACTGGAAGCCATATATTGGCGGATTGGGAGTGGGTACCGTTACTGATCTGAAATTGGTTGTGGATCGATGGGTGACTAACTTTAGTAACGAACGTTAAGTGTAGAAATTAGAGCTGGGGTTATCTTTCTATAGAGTACTCTAGTAGTCATTGTAATGATTACTGTCTGTGCTTCTTAAATATGTTCTCCTAATGTTGTTGTTTTAAATGGATAAAGGCGACGTAGCTATCAGACTCCTAAAATAGGTTGCCTTTTCCCACCGTAACATTTATAGGTATTAAACCTCCCAATATTTATAATGAATATTAAACTTGTTCCTCTTTGTTCATTAATAATAAATAATGTCAATGAGATAAACCGTTTTCAAACTTTATTCAGTTTTGTTTTAATTTTTTGAATTTATCTTCCGCTCCACTTTCAAGCTTCCATTTTTTCAATCTCTGCAAAAGTCTTTCTATTTTAAGCATCGTCCAGCTCAAGATTTCCACTGCCTTTCACTTTCGTTCCAGCATCGCCCTCAAAGTCTCAGTTCAGCGAGCAAAACTTTTGTTTTATTTTAATTTTTGTGTAGCCCAGAACCAAAAATCGCAAGTAAATGTCTTTTACAAGTTGAATTTAAGCTGAAAACTTTTCTAATTAAAATTAAACAGAAACTTCGCCTCGAGTGAAGTTTTGATTATTATTTGGATTTGTTTTTCATATACCTACTTATTCACTTCATTCTCTTATATTTCCTCAGTTCCTCAGTTAATTCTGTCATTGAGGTCATGCATCGATTGGAGTAAACGGCATCGCTGAAAGTTTTAGCAAGAAAGTTCCTTGAAAACTTTAGCAAGTCAGTTGACGAGGAGCCGTGAAGGTCAGGAGGCGGCTAAGAGCATCTCAAAAAGTTTAAAACTGCAATGCAAATTGGGTGAAGTAGGAAATTGGTCAAAACGAAAGTAAAACGTTTGCGAAAATCACCAAAAGACAAATGGATCTCTTTAGTACAAATGCAAATTTACCAACGTAGTAAGGCTATACCATATTTCTTTTGGTTTTTATATATATAAAATATTTTTCACTAACTAACTTTTTATTATTACATACCATTTTATCAAAATGTGTAATAATTCCAGAAAAAGGCCAAGCAGATATTTTGGTTCTGAGCTTTATCCCATTAATTAGCCACGTTAATTTCCATTTAATTAAATAAAATTATGACATTTGCCCTCATTAACTTGTTTACATCCGTTTTGGCTTTAAACACTTTGCTTGCCCCTCGCCATGATATTATACTACTTCCTCAGTGGCCTCCATGGATAAAATACCATTTTCAGAGTCAGAGGGACTTTTGCGCCTACAATTTGCATAATTTATTAACGAGAGTTTGAGCGTTTACTTCCGCTCAGTAAACTGAGTCTGACAAGAGGGAGTGAGAGATCTCATGCATAATTAAACACGTAATTAACCATTATTCTCGGCGTCTGATTTCAGTCGGCTACTTGTGAGCCCCTGGTCCGATTTGTAATGAGTTTTCAAAGAACTCTACGGGAAAAGTTTTCCCCGCTGTTCTCGGCAATCAAACAAGCCGCACGCATTTTGATTTGTGCGAGTATCCAAACCGTAACACAGACTGAGAAATTACAGTTGCTAATGAACATTAATTAATTAGCAGGGTCTGGAGTGCGCTTGGGAACATGTTCTCCGGCAGGTGAACGTGAAACAGAAGGCTTCCTGCCCTTGGTCAATTATGCCAGCTCAACTTATATCCCGAAGCCCACCCTATCATCCCTGCTGTCAGGGGTGAAAAGCTTTAAGTCCAATTCCTTGGGATTGGCAAAGTAATATATAATTGCAGGTGAAAACATTTTAATTGAACAACAAAAGAAAAACTAATATCAAGAAGTGAAGAGATGATTTTCTCTTCAATCAGCTGTTTTAAAATGCGATATATCAGTTCAATTAGTTAAATATTTGCGTTTTGCAATTGGGTTCATAGCATACGCGATTTAAGCGTCTATTTATGTGGCCACCACTCACCAAATAATGGCCGACGAATGTCTGTATAATGCCAATAAATGAAATGAGTTAACGTGTTTGAAATAACTAAGTGAAAATGAACACTTGAAGCTTAGCTTGGTTGCAGACATTTATCAACTGCGCGCCTAATTAAGTTTCAATTTAACCTTTATATTCACTCTGTACTAAATCCAAAATATTTTTTTATTTAAGCATAAACCCTGCGCACTTCGTGATTTTCCAGTTGCTGCTGTTTTCAGCACCTTTGCGGATTCCCCATGGTGCACATCAAAGAAAACTTCATAGCGTTGGCAACAACGCGGGGGTCCTTTTCAGCCCCTTTTTCCCTTTAGTAAAACGTGGCTCATAATTTCTACAATTAGTAGACGGCAAGCTCACTCACTGTCAATGGCAGACTAAGGTATTCTAAAGCAATTTAAGTTTATGTTTTTCGTTTAGTAGCAATGTGATTTTAAAATAAGAGTCCTATTCACCTGTTGTTTTTTGCATGTGTGAACTTTAAGCAAACTTTATTTTTTAGCCAAAATTAGAGGCTGAAATTTTTTTTGCAGTTTCTAGGTTCTCAATGTTTTTAAAGTAATGATTATTGGCAATACACCTCCAATTCAACACCTGAAGCATTAGTGGTAAGGTACATTTTTTATTATTTTTTTTTTAATATTTTGTTTTAAGTATAAAAAGAAAAAAATCGTCATCTTAAACTCATGAAATAAACACAAGATTTTTTTGTCCAGGACTTTTTGCCGAGTTGCATAAAAGTATGCTGAATGCAATTGTTAACCGAAGTTATGTGGTTCTGCAATTGTATTGAAGTTTGTTACTCAGCTCAGCACGAAAAGTTCTTTGCAATCTACAATACAGTGTTTATAAATCTAATTATGTAAATGTGCAACTGGTTGTTGCGATAGCCAAAGGCGTATGTTTGCTGTTGTTTTTTTTCCCGTTGAAGTGGGATCCACTGATCGATCGTTGGCCGAAATCTCGGTTAGCACGATCACCTTACCGAGTATCCACTTCCAAACTCATTAATAGTCATATTAATAAAGAATCCTCTTAATCATTGTTTACGTAAATCAAAAACTGAATCTGTAAGCGTATGCATGGTAGAGATCGTCAAAGTTTATGATACTTTTCAACGAAGTGTCAGCAGCAATACCTTCCAATAGACAGACTGGTTGTAGAAGTTGCTCAGTCATTAGGGGAGTAGTATTTGGAAGTTTAAGTTCGTCAACCTCCGTTAGATTATAAAACAAAATCCCGAAACGGGAAAGAACAACTGACTAACGGCAACAATAAACTTAATCTTGTACAGCATCTTCCAGTAATAAAGTTTGAACACTAATGAGAAGATTGGGACTATCGAGTGGCATCTTAGAAATCAATTCCTAAATTCTAGCATTCTTCTCAAGCACTGTCGAAACGGCTAAAACAGCTATCTTGGCCATCTCATAGCCATCCTCATAACAGAATCTAATAACTGTTTAGCACTTGGTTGCTGATTAGCACTTGAGGAACTGAAACTAGCGCGCTGACTAGTCGGAAAGGAATCGAGGGTCATAAGCGCATAATCATCGGTAATTGTGAGATTTCGTGCTGCACTCTTGATAATACAGTTGCAGCAGATTCATACTCTTCCCGACGCCAAGGATTGGCTAACATCTCCAGGAGACAATTGAGCATGATCTATCCCTTCAGTAAATAAGGGTTTCTTAGAATGGTCCAAGGGCACGCTTTAATAGAGGCATTGTTACTAATCACGAAAGTAAAAACATCATGAGTCTTGGCGTTATCATAAATTTGGGTCACAATAGAAAATTGAGTCTCAGCATTCCGAACTTTTCCATCATCGCTACGATAAGTGGTGACCTCATGCTCGTGTTTTCTGTTCGAAAATGTAAAGAAACGACGAAATGCACGTGGAACCGACATTTCCTAATGGTAGACTGAAAGGTAGAAAACTGCTTTAGGAAGATGGTTAAACCAGG